CATTCATTTAAGTTACACAGAACTGGTTGTCCTATTGAACTTGGTCCGTGGGATCTCCAGTCGCCAAGTTAGGTTTCCGTATAAGGTAACTTAGTTATTTAGGCTTTAAACTTATTCCCCTCGACGCACATTTAACTCTCTCGCTAGATAAACCTTATTAAATGGATCCGCTCGGTTATCTATGGATTTCACAAAATCAATTATTTCATTCGAGAGTAAATGTCTCACATTATAAGTTTACGATGAATATGTCGAGACTTATTAAAGTATAAGAGCAATTATTAATTGATTATATTCAATTATATTGCCTCACTATATCCCTAAATGGATGTACAAACATATGTAACTTGTAGTCAAATACCCCCACATTTTGAGATATTTATAGTTCAATTATATATATTTCCATAACTCATAAGGAATGTTCATCTTGTGTGAAACTCTATTTAATATGCCATTAGACACACAAGGAGTTTCCCCCACAAGTTGTTCGGTAAACTCAAGTTTAATCGTGTCTTTATATCATGATTTTCCATTTGACTACCTCATTTGATGTGAATAGGGTGCAATGATTTTGCCATGAACACAAATAAATTACTCATATTATCCGCTCTATCGGATTTAAGAAGTTATCTTCTTATTTTGTATTTCACAAATACGCATTTGCTACCTTTTTATCAAACTCAAAATTTTAAGAATTTTAATTTTTATTGAGAAAATACTCACAATATGATTGGACATAATCATATTGCACCGTTTAAATCAAGAACTAACTTACAAAATTTTTGAAAACAGAGAAATCAAGCATCCCTCGTGAGTGCTTATTTGAAGTATAAATAAATATTGATTATGCCCAAATTCAACCAACTCATTGATTTGAAAACATTATTGTTTCAAAAGAAAGAATAAAATATTTATATGATTTAATAATTTTAAATTTCATACAAACTTGTAAAACATAGGGCAATTTTGAAAACAATATACTAGTAAAAAACTTGTATAGTAAAACCTTGTTTTACACACGATATTTCCCAACATAATAAGTTCTTACAACTCTTAAATAAACCATATAACCTAAAAATTATTAATATAAGTTTAGTAGCTTAGTTCTTGCCGATAACGGCTACGTTCGCCTTAAAGAGGCCGTCACATAGGTACCCCTTTCCCACATAGATCCCTCATTTGGTTAACACAAATTTGTCCGACTCAAAAGCCAACTTGAAACCTTTCTTGGTTAGGATAGAACCACTGATTAAGTTCTTCCTAATATCCGGAACATGTAGCACATCGTTCAAGGTAACTTCCTTTCCGGAAGTGAATTTTAGGATCACTTGTCCTTGTCCTTCAACCACCGAATAAGCATCATTTCCCATGAAGAGCTTTTGTTCTTGTTCCAACTTTTTGTAGGAGGAAAACATGCTCTTGTCATAGCAAATGTGACGTGTAGCCCCGGTGTCTACCCACCATCCTCGAGTATCGCTCATTAGGTAGGCCTCCGTTACAACTGCCGAAAAGTGCATGTTGTCGTTCTCGGAAGTAGCTAAGTCCACGGTGACATTAGCTTCATTTTTATTATTTTCTTTGCGGTGGCGGCAATCCTTCGCAAGGTGTCCATTCTTTCCACAAACGAAGCACGCTCCGGTGAACCTTTTCTTCTTGTTATTTGGTCCTTTGTTAAATGTAAGACCCTTTCGCTTGTTGCTCTGCTTCGAGCTCTCCTCCACCACATGTGCCTTAGCCACGAATTGACCACCTTTATCGGTAATTTTATTATCCTCCTCGGTCTTGAGCCTTGCTATGAGTTCCTCCATCGTCCATTTGGCAACCGATTTCTTGTGCCTTAGGTAGTGTTTGAACTCCGTCCAACTCGGCGGAAGTTTCCCAATTATGGAAGCCACTTGATAGGATTCGCTCACCTCATGACCCTCGGCGAGAATATCGTAGATCATGAGTTGGAGTTCATTCACTTGCTCACTCACAGTTTTGCTATCGACCATTCGATAAAATTGGAATTTGTCTACTATGAATTTTCTATATCCCGCATCTTCAGACTTGTATTTCTTGGACAAACTATCCCACAAAAGTTTAGCAGTCTTTATAGGACTATAAACTTTGTACAACGGTTCGTCCAAGCAATTCAAGATGTAGTTACGGCATAGAAAATCAGAGTGACTCCACGCATCGATGGCTAGGAAGACTTCCTTGTTATTTTCGGGAGTTTCTCCTTCATTCGCCTTAGGTGCCTCCTCATTGAGAAACTTAGCCAAATTCATGGTAGTAAGATAGAAGAACATTTTGTTCTTCCAAGTAGCAAAGTCCATGCCCGTGAACTTGTTTGGTTTTTCGGCCGCGCCGACAACCTTAGGAGCGGCATCATTAATTGAAGCCATCTACACAATTTTCAGTCACGAGAAAAATTTCAACGAAAAGAATTTTTAAACTTGAAAGCCAAGATAATTCAAGTCAAACAATGTCCAAATCCAAATATTCTGTACTTAAGAATATAAATAATTAAGTATTATATACCTTAATCTCTCGAATAACAGTAATAGAATAACATTTGTTTAATAAACAAACATAATAGATTTGAATCAGAAAAACCAATTGATTATTCAAAATAATATTAGTTTCACATAGAACCAGACAACTCTTACATATACATAATAAAATTTGTAATTATGGGCACAACTTTTCGCAAAAGAACAAAAACACATTAGTAAATCAAAATTTTAATAGCAGATTTCAAATTAAAAATTATATTATAAAAACTTTTGCAAAACGTTGACGGAAGGCAGAACCACATATGCAATTTATATTTTAACACTGTGATTTGTTATAATATGCAGGTATAAACACACACATATATATAACAGATGTTGATGTAAAAGAAAAAACACAGATTCAAACTTTTTACAAAAATTTGGACAAACAAATATAAATTACGCAGAAGTTAACATATTAATTATATATTGTCTTAAGATTGTTGGTATATATATAACAATCTGCGTAAATTGAAAAAATACTTACTTGTTTGTCGAAAAGAGGAATTGTCAAAAACACAAAGAACGATCGAGGCTTGCCAAAGCAATTCCCTTAAGACAATATTTCCGGGTTGTCAACGGTGCACAGTCTCTTCCCGGTAGTCTCCCAAGGTACAACGATCGGTTGTCGAATATTTGCACGAATATTTGACCCACGGCGAACTTGAACAACGAACGGAACTTTGACGAAGAGAAAGAAAAATATAAAGAACTATCTCTCAATTGCCGATTAAATTCAGTACAAAATTGGCCAGATTCTGCCTTTATTTATAGGTTGTAGAGATCCATTCACAGAGGGATGCAATGGTTGGAGAAGAAGCAGAAGGTTGTGTCTGTTCTTTTTACTGAGTTCAAAAAAACGTAGGAAAATTAATTGGTCATGGGCCAATTAATTAATTTGGTTTGGGCCAAGTATTTTATTATTTGAATTTTAGTTCAAATAATTTAACTAACTACTAAATGTCCCAAAAAATAATATTTGTGGACATCTAAACTCAAACTAGTCCTATCACTCGATCACACCGAGCGCACATCTTTTGAACTTTAACCATTTAATCAAGACAATTTGCATTCACTTTACTTCATGATTTTGATCAAGTAAATAAATGAAATTAATCTTTACATAATTAAATTAATATTACTCAATATTAATTATTGGAAATCATGAAAATTCCAACATTTTCAAAAAATATATATATATATATATATATATATATATATATATATATATATAACTAAAAGTTGAATTTTTGTTTATAGTTATAATTTTAAGTATAAAATAAATAAATTATAGTGTAAATATGAATACTATATACATAAAATAATTAAAACAATACATAGAATTACTAAATAAATATCTATAAAATAAAATTTTGGAATTCGATAAAGCCGACTTACCGTGTTTAAAAAAAAATAATAATAATAAAAAAAAATAATAAAATAAATAAATAAATAAAAAATAATAATAATTTAAAAAAATACGGGTGGTAGAGACGCAAAGCCTAATCCAGATAAACCAATTTCAACCCATAAAGGTTTTGTCTGCACTTCAATTTTCCGGGCCTACAATACATGGGTTTTGATTTGTGGGTCTCAACATTTTGTATATTTTTTTTATTTATTTAATTGTGTTTTTTTTACCAGAATGCAACTATAAATGTAATGAGGTCTATATATAAATGATCATAAATTTTTGAATTTATTGTCATATGATAGGCCAGGAATTACATGGTCCTAAGCAACACAAATAAATTATAAAATTCATATAATAACTATTAGTAATTTGCATGGAATATTTATTGTTTTATTTATTTATTTAAATATTATACACATAGTGAAGTATATCGTTAGCTTTGCACCGTAAATCTATATATAAAAAAATTATACCTATCTTATTAATATATACTCCATCTATGCCACAATATTTTCCCTTTTATTTCGTTACAAATTATTTGTTATTTTAGTATTATAGCAATGAATTGTATTTTCCTCAATTTTGCCCTCGTTATTTTTAATTGGACGCAACAAACAATTAATATTATGACATTTTAGTGAATCTATGGAATTACTTTTTTTAATTATAATAGTACGTGTACGTTATTAATTTTTTTTTAATACGTGCGCATCGACTTTAATAATTTTAGACGGATTGAATATTGATTGAAAATTGATGATCCCAATTTTCAGTTATGTAATATCCATTGTTTTTCTATTACTATTATTAATAATTTATTATTATTATTATTATTATTATTATTATTATTTATTAATTAATTTATTTATTCTATTAAAAAGTTTGAAGAGGGGAAATAAAAAGAAAAAAGAAAAAAGAAAAGTCAAAATTGGTAGTTATTTTGGTATGAGGAGGTGGCTCAACTTTCAAGGAAGATGAAATTATAGTCTGTTTACTGTAGATTATATATTTTGTAAATATATATATATATATATATTGGAAGAGAGAGAGAGAGAGAGAGAGGGATAGAGGTGGGCGGGGGTGCAGCAGCAAATGGGGAGAGCGTTTGTGTATGTGATAATCGGAGGCGGGGTGGCTGGTGGCTACGCCGCCCATGAATTCGTCAAGAGAGGCGTCTCTCAGGGTGAACTCTGCATCATCTCCGAAGAGACTGTAATCTCTCTCTCTCTCTATCTCTTTCTCTCTCCTCACAAACTCACTCGTTCACTTTCTCTCCCTCTCTCTCTCTCTCTCTCTCTCTCTCTCTCTCTATATATATATATATATATATATATATATATATATATATATATATATATATATATATATATGTATGTATGTATATGTATCCGTGTGCATGACTCTCGACCAATATCATTAATTGTCGCCTGCATTTAATTAATCGCAATTGGTTCTATGTTTACTCACTGATGGTTAAAGCAATTTGTGCGTAGGGTTTTCTTCCATGGTTTAATATATTTTCTTCGATTTAGAAGTTTAAAAGCTTTCAGCTGGAATTTGGAGGATTTCATCTGTAATTGATTGTGTTTGTCATTTAATTCCAGTCCTGCATCCTTAATTGTGTGCGAAAATACAGTTAATTTTAAATTTTTCCCTGTAAGCTAGTTCTCTGTGGTTAAATTTCCAATTCCCTTTAGTAAGTAATTTTGTACATATTACTCTGTTATTTGGAATATCCATTTGAATCTGATAGTTATTTAGCGATCTCTTTAGGTTAACTTGCTCTAAAACGTGCACCAATCCAGCTAGAAAGTTCCAAATATTAAGTAGTACTCCTCTAAAGCTAGCCGATATTAGTTGTCCTATCTCGTATTTTCTTCAAAAGCATCCGTTGGATTTGAACTGCCAAGTCTAATGAATGAGTAAAAGTTTAACCAGATAGGTTCTGCTCTTTTTTTGGTATTCAATAATTTCAGAAACTAGACCGTTCTTGAATTGTGGAAAAAATCTATGTTGAATTATAGGTTCTGCAGTCATTAATTATGACGTATACGATTGCACGTTTACTAATTGCTTGTTCAAACTTAATTTGGGCTTTAGACATAGTAGTATGCTATTTAAATAGCTATATATATAATGATAATTTTATGTGGTAAGACATAGTAGGATGGTTTAATGATAATTTTTTTTGGAGATAATTTAATGCTATTATTTTGATGTTGGACTAGGTTCTGTATATAATATACTTATATATATGAAATTGATGCTGATGCACCTTTGCAGGTTGCACCCTATGAAAGGCCTGCATTGAGCAAAGGTTACTTACTTCCGGAAGGTAGTTAATTCTCCTAACGCTTGTGTAGCAGTTGTATCTGCGAACAAAACAATGGGAAATTGATATAACTGCTGTTCGAGTGTACACGACTTACGAAACTTTTATGTGTCTTAAGTTTGTGGGAAAGACACTTATGCAATCATATTCAGATTAACAACTTCTAAGCATGTTGGGTTGATTCCTTTTAAAGATGGTTCAGAAATTATTAATGTGCTTCGTTGGCGTTAATCTGTGTGAGAATGAGGCTTTGATGTTTTATGTGATTTAACCGTCTATGTGTTTGGTATACATACAGATCCTGCACGCCTCCCTTCATTTCACTGTTGTGTAGGTTCCAACGAGGAAAGATTGGCTCCAAAATGGTACAAGGAAAATGGTAATTTTATATAAGCAATATCGCATTTATTTTTTAACTTTCATTTGCTCTACTACCTGGTAGTTACACAAGGCTCACGAGTTATTTACACGATGTAACGTGTATCTTTTATTTGTTGGTTGTAAGTCTTGCTGGAAATGATATCCTTCTATGTTATATAAATAAATCGAGTGGCTGTTTGTACAAAATCATTTTTTAAGTTAGCTGAAAAATAAGCATCTATTGGAGGAGATATTAAGTATACTACTACTTTTGCTTGATATTTTAGTAAGGATTTTCTATCAACTGCATGTTATTTGAAAATTTCATTCATTTTCCGATGCTTGAATATGGGGATAATCTCAAAGTACGTTGATTAAAATCCATTCCTTGCTCCTCAATCCTTATTGTAAATACGATACACTAAGATCTGATCATATTAACACGAGGACAATTGTTGTTTGTGACTCACCAAGGGGTTCAAACCCTCCCCTTTTTTTTCATCTTCAGGGTTTGTTTTATTTGTTTATTTATTAATAAAAGAAAATGCTTCCCAACTAAATGAACCAGGTCGTCTTACCTTCCCAGGTAACACAATTTTACTTAGTTTTGTCTGGAATTGACTAGTGCACAGCGCTAGTCTTGAGGCAGTATTTTACTTGAAATGGTAGAAAAATGATGTTTTGTTTGGTTTTGATTTCAAATTTTCTGGCATTTCTGGATAATTAAAGTGCACATGGTTTTGTTTTTTGGCGGGGGAGACATCTTCCTCTATAACTGTATCTCTGTAAAATTAGTGATGTCAGTGTCACATCAGTTCTTCTATACTAATTTAATGATTAGATAATATAAATACGTATATTTTCAGATTCATTCAACTACCGAAATATTGATAAAGATATATAATGCACATATATATTTTTATATATAGTTTAATTATTACAATTTTCTGAAATATCTCGAGGGAAGGTGGGGAAGAGGATTCATAGAAGTTTGGTTTTGTAATTAAGTCTAAAGTTGGATTTTAGCTGTAATGCTACTATTTCATATGTTGCTTTGAGTTTCTCCTAACTGGACAACATACTATAACTAATTATATGTTAAGTTTACCTTCTTCTGATGTGATTGTTCAGGTATTGAATTGATTCTTGGAACTCGAGTCAAGTCTGCTGATGTTAGACGGAAGACACTGCTAACTGCAACAGGAGAAACCATAAGCTACAAATATCTCATCATTGCAACAGGTGCTCGGGTATTGAAGCTAATCTTTTTTTTTTTTTTGGTATTTTTGTACTATTGTGTTTTATTTTGTTTTGTCTTGATGAATAATGTCTGCGAGGGTGATTTTCCCTCTGAAACTGAAAGAAATGTAAGGATTTTCCACCTATTTTCCTTTTTGAGCATCGTGCTGTTTTATAAGAACGCCTTAATTTGACCAAGAGGGAGGTGTATTCTAGTTCTTTTACGTTGTAGCCTGTAGGAATTAGTGAGAAATTAAAAAAAGAAAAAGATAGATAATAATGACTCTGATTTGGTGGCACGTAATTTACAGGCTTTGAAGCTTGAAGAGTTTGGAGTAAATGCGTTAGACGCAACAAATGTGTGTTATTTAAGAGACTTGGCTGATGCGGACAGGCTTGTTGATGTGATCCAATCTTCTAGTGGTGGAAATGCCGTTGTTATCGGAGGAGGCTATATAGGGATGGAATGTGCTGCTTCTTTAGTCATTAACAAATTAAATGTGACAATGGTTTTTCCAGAGGCACAATGTAGTAAGTAAATTTCTTATATTTATTCTACTTATACTTTCCATTGGGATTTTATAATTTTTTTCAAGTCAGAAATATCAGCTTAGTAACTAATTGGAAATCTGTGTTCGTTAATCCTTCTATCCAATCTTTTTGACATTTTGGTTTATGCAGTGGCCCGTTTATTTACCCCCAAGATCGCTAATTACTACGAAGAATTTTATCAGTCTAAAGGGATTAAGTTCATCAAAGGAACTGTGTTGACATCATTTGATTTCAACTCTGATGGGAAGGTAATACTACTCATCCTTTCGATCATTTTGAAATATATTGCTCTGTAACTTCTCACATACGCGAAAGGTGATTATTTTCCCTATAGCACAAGTATTTCAAATAACAAAAATAAGAAACGAATTGGAGCTGATATCGACTTCTTTATGGCAGTTAAGTGACTAATTTTTCTCACAGGTGACTGCAGTTAATCTCCGAGACGGGACCAAGCTCCCCGCAGACCTAGTCGTGATCGGAATCGGGATCCGCCCAAACACAAGCCTCTTCGAGGGTCAACTCACAATGGAAAAGGGAGGAATCAAAGTCAACGGCAAGATGCAGTCAAGCAACGCCTCCGTCTATGCAGTTGGAGACGTGGCGGCATTTCCGGTCAGAATCGTCTCCGACACACGCCGCCTTGAGCACGTGGACTCTGCCCGGAAGTCCGCCCGCCACGCTGTCTCCGCCATAGTGGACCCCACAAACACGGGAGAGTTCGACTACCTCCCGTTTTTCTACTCCAGGGTGTTCACTCTCTCCTGGCAGTTCTACGGTGACAATTCAGGCGAGGCTGTTCATTTTGGGGAGTTCGATAAAACTACCTTCGGTGCGTACTGGGTGAATAACGGGGTTCTTGTGGGGTCGTTTCTTGAGGGAGGGACTAAAGAGCAGTACGAGGCGATGGCTTTGGTGAGTAGGGTGAAGCCGAGAGTGGAGGATTTAGGTGAGCTTGAGAGGTTGGGTTTGGAGTTCGCTTTGTCTGTGAAGGAGAAACCGTCACCTGCTGCAGGGGAGATTATCGTTGTGGGTGGGGGTGGGGGTGGGGGTGCGAGTGGGGGTGGAGGGGTCGGTGTTGTGGTGGAGAAGCCATTGTATGGTTGGCATGCTGCTGCTGGAGTTATTGTTGCTGCTTCTATAGCTGCGTTTGCTTACTGGTACGGAAGGAGGCGTAGAAGGTGGTGAAGAATCTACTACTCTACACACGACACGTAATTTATTTTGTGGTAGAAAACAAGGGATTTAAGAATTGTTTTATCTGATTAGAATTTGTAAATGGATCTTATTTCTGAGTTCTTGCATATGTATTGAATCTTGTTGTGAAATGAGGTGTCAAAAAGTTGTAATTGAATAATGGTGTTGCTCGGATGTCTCCTAAGTTATAATAAGGGCTTTTATGTTGAAAACCATGACTGTTGAATTAAATGAAAAATGAAGCAAATTATCTTGTTACTAAACAGTTCGTTTTATGCTATATTCGGTGAAGTTCATCAGGTAATAATTTTTTACTTTTCCATGCAGGTGTACAGATCAATAACATACATATGGGTGTGTGTAGATCAAATCATTTATAGATATTGTATTTATAGGAGCAAAGAATCATCTCAACCTGGGCATTTGGTCTAGTGGTATGATTCTCGCTTTGGGTGCGAGAGGTCCCGAGTTCGATTCTCGGAATGCCCCTTTTTAATTTTTTAATGTTTTCGCACATATATATAAAGCTTTGGGCTCCATATATTCTTTTGGGCCTCAGCAAATACTCCAACCCAACCTGATTTATATTAAAAAATAAATGAAGGGCATTTAAGTCATTACACAATAAACAATTTCTAAATATTTCTAAATATTTTCTTTCATTCCTTATCTTATCTATCTTATTCCCCCTTCTTCTTCACTACTACTCCCACTCAAAAAAAAAATCACTCTTATCTCTGAAATTCGCAATGGCTTCCACTCTATCCTCTGCTATCCTACGCTCCCCCTCATACTCCCCGCCCTCCGCCGCCTTTCATCCGCTCCCCTCCGCCACATTCCCCAAATTCCCCCTCGAATCGGCCCCCAAGCTCATCCGCCGACGCGCCACCGCAGTCCGCCCACTCGCGGCCGTAGACGCCCCGGAAAAGGTCGTCCAACTCGGCGACGAGATCTCAACCCTAACCCTAGCCGACGCGCAGAAGCTCGTCGAGTACCTCCAGGACAAGCTCGGCGTGACCGCCGCGTCCTTCGCACCCGCCGCCGCTGCCGCCCCCGCCGCGGCCGAGGCTCCCGCCGTCGTGGAGGAGAAGACGGAGTTCGACGTCATCATCGAGGATGTGCCGACCAGCTCGAGAATCGCCACCATTAAAGTGGTTAGGGCTTTGACCAGCTTGGCTCTGAAAGAGGCGAAGGAGCTGATTGAAGGACTACCGAAGAAATTCAAGGAGGCGGTGTCGAAGGAAGAAGCCGAGGAAGCGAAGAAGCAGCTCGAAGAAGCCGGCGCCAAAATCGCCATTGTTTAAACAATTGCGCTGCAGCTTTACTCAATTTTCGCGGTAAACAAAAATTACAAATCTGAGTATTTTTTTCGTTATTCTGTGGTTGATTTGTGTTTTTTATTTAGTTTATTTGGTAGTTGTAGAGGCAGTCATATTATGAATCTGTAATCAATTTAGACCCTAAGATTTTATGTTTCCTACAATCCAGTTATCTTTTCACTGCAAACAAGTTGAGTCGAGTCGATCCGAACGTATCGTAGTTTAAATATTGTGTTATGAGTTTGATAAGCTATCAAGTCTATCTTAAACGAGCTATAATCGAGGCGAACACGAATCAAGTTTGAGCTGGAGCTGAGCTGTATAGCTTATTGAACGAAAATATGCGCACAAGCTTGGTTCAATATGTTAACAACTCGAGCTGAAACGAGTTTTTAATGAACGATTTCGTATCGAGTATTTTGGTTTGATTGTCGGCCTTAGCTGCGAACTCTTAGGTTGCATTCGGACGAAAGTATTTGGAGCTGTACATTTTATTTCATTTTGATAAATCGCTTGATTTTGTTTGAGGGTAATGGATCTTAAATTATTAATACCTCGTTAAGCTGTCGTTCGGTTACTACTATTAAATAAACTAAATTTTATTGACTAAATAGTAGGGCCAGTAAGACGTTCGATCGACCAAATTTGTACTAATTGACCGCCGTTGCCAAAAGTTAAAGTTCGCAATTATATTGTACTATTTCATTAAATTAGTACCATTTCTACCCATGCGATTAATTTTGTAGGGGTCACTAGATAATGGAAAAAAAACTATTTTCTCTTTAAACTATTTGTTAACTTCTTAAACAAGATGTTTATACACGTAGGGGTCACTAGATAATGGAAAAAAACTATTTTCTCTTTAAACTATTTGTTAACTTCTTAAACAAGATGTTTATACACGAATCGTATATAATATCCAAATCTAATAAATTTGACACTAAGAGCCCGTTTGGCTAAGCTTATTTAAAACATCTTATAAGCTCCTACATCTGATAAGATGTTTTAGGAGCTGATAAGCTGTTAGATCTTATTTTAAAAATTATTTTTTAACGTGTTTGGATATGTAGCTTATAAGTTACTTTTTGTTTTTATCAGTTGTTCAGGTGTTTGGAAATAAAAGGTCTGTTTATTGCTATAATGACAAAAAAATACATGACGCGATTATAATTGTTAAACTTATTTGACTCAAATACTTTTGTTTCTAAAATATTATTATAATATTTATAAATTATTTTTTCAAATAATGATAATAATATAAAATTATATATTAATATAAAATAAAAGTTGTAAAAGAAATATAATTTTTTTTTATAGATGAAAGAAATATAATTTATTATTGAGATAATAAGAATATTCGGGTATTTTTATATACATATAAAATATAAATAGAGAATAATTTTTTTTTTTTACAATTATTATGATAATTACGATAGTTATATTTAAGTAATTATTAATCTTGATTACAAGAATACGTTGTTTTGATAAAATATAAATATTATTAGTATTCATGTAATATAATAAAGTATTTGAGGACAATTTTGTATTTTGAGTGTTTTAGTAAAGAAGCAAATAAGATCTTAAAGAAAAAATGTGGGGTGGAGGTACTTTTTTAAAAACATCTTATAAGCTCCCTAACAGCTTATTTTAGGAAAAAATAAGATCTTTTGCAATTTTTTTACCAAACACCTTTTAACAACTTATAAGCTCTTAAACATCTTATAAGATGTTTTTAGGAGCTTATAAGCTTAGCCAAACAGGCTCTAAGTTTTGATATAAGGAATCGAAATTTGCTAATTCTTTTTTAACACAAAGGCTTTTTAGCCATTCGAAATTGGGGCTCTTTGACATAACCCCTCAATATGTTTTTTAATGGAGATAGGCCCAAAATATTTTGAGAAAAGCCCATGTTCCAATTTCAGCCATTATATTTTCCAGCTTTATTCTCGTTCGCCACCTCATCACTGGGACACGCGCTCCGTGAAATTTGTTTTTTTTTTTCCGTTTTTTTAATCGACTATGAAGCATAGTCGATTAGTCTTAAATCGACTGTGCTTCATAGCCGATTAAGGAAATTCTTTATTTAAAAAAAAAAAAAATTGTTCTTTGATATATTTTTTATATCAGGTTTATTAATTGACTATGATGAAGCATAGTCGATCAAAAGTCTACTACTAAAAATAACAAATCAAAAATGCAAAAAAATGCAAAATTAACTATATTTTACAAAAAAACAAAAATATAAGAAAATTATAATTGATTTATACAATTGGAATCAATAAACAAAAAAACCAAAAAAAAAAAAGAAGATTGGAGTCGATCAACCTTAATCGATACCAGCGCATAGTCGATCAAGAATCTGCTACTAAAAATAACAAATCACAACTGCGAAAAAATGCAAAATCACGTATATATTACAAAAACAAAAAATATACAAACATTATAATTGATTTATACAATTGGAATCAATAAACGAAAAATCCCAAAAAACAAAAAAAAAAAAAACAATTGGAGTCGATCAACCTTAATTAATCGATTACCAGAACATAGTCGATTAGCTTAATCGACTATGACTATGTACATAGTCGATTAAGGTTTAAGCATGCGCGGAATTCTCTAA